TTTAAATTGTCACCCACATTCATTTTTTAAATAAATATTTATTTTATTTCTAGTCATGTATGCAGGGGGAGGGGTAACATAATATGAGTACAGGTGTTAGGATAGTCCAGAAGATGACATCAGACCACCTCAGCTGGGATATGAGTGGTCATAAGCTGCCCAGTGCGTACTGCGAACCAGAAGTGCGCACTCTTAACCACAAAGGTGTCTCTTTGGCCCTTACACCCACATTCTTTATCTTCAAAACTTTCAAAATTCGAGTCTTCTCTACTTTCTACCTTAAGTGGTTGCAGCCTGGTGAACTTCATGACAGAGAGTGGGGTTGTGCTCATCGCACGAGGAAGCAGATTACATTGCATGCAGCTGGAGGATAGGAGCCGAAAGTCTTATGTGAACTGATTCCAAGCTGGACACCTGGCATTTACTTCAAAAACCCACTTAGACAAGTGACAGTTATCCCTTTACTATGTGACCATTGGTTTCTTCCCATGGATGACGTCCACAGAGAAACCTTCCTCGAGACTCAGTGTTCCGGTCCATTGGAATGTTATTCTATTTGAAATAAGTCCTGGTTGCCAATGAGTGTTCTTCCTAAGAGACCCCATAATTTCCAGACATGGGAATTTGTAACTTCCTTCAGAAAACTGAAGGCACAAAACAGTCCCTGTCCAAGATCACAGAACAATTCAATGACTGTCCCACAAGTAGAATTACGTTCTTGTCTTTAGCACGAGCTGTCTGTCTCCCTGGTCTGGTGCTCTATACTGTTTTTTTTTTTCTAAGAAAAATGACTGTATTTTATGTGTGGGAAGTCTAGCTGCTTAACCTGAAAGGATCATGCTGGAGGGATGACTCAGTGGGTAAGAGCACTTTGCCACACAAGCATGAGGACCTGAGTTCAGATCCCAGCACCTACTTAAAAAGTAGGGTGGTTATGCACACACTGCATAGGGAGGAAACAGGAGGATCTATAGGAATCTCTGAAATTTAGCCTAGCTTCAGGCTCAATGAGAGATCCTATCTCAAAAAAAGGTAGATAGTGATGGAGAAGGCTACTCAGTGTCCTCTTCCACACACAATTGTCATACATCACATTCAAACACACACTAATAAACAATAAAAATAAAAGAAATGCAGAACTCAGCACTTTTTAGTATAATGAGCTTTCATTTCCAAGATCACTTTTTGGAGACCTCTCTGGAACAGGACTCAGTCATCTTCAATACTACGAACAGCAATTGCCCACTATGCTAGTTACAAACTTACTACTGCGACCAGATACCTGACAGGAAGCAAATGATAAGAGGAGGGGTTTACTTTGGCTCACAATAAAGGAAGGGATTCAGTCCTTCATTGTGCGGAAGGCGTGGCATCTGTGAGCATGGGGCAGTTGGTTACACTGTATCTGCCATCAGGAAGCAGAGAGGCTATGAGGCTGGTCTATAAGCATCAGTGCTTGACCACAGTGACCTACTTCTCCTAGTGAGGCTCCACCTTCTAAAAGTTCTACAACCTTTCAGCTGCCCCAGCAGCTGGTGACCAAGAGCTCAAGCACATGAGCCAATGTCAGTCATTTCAAAATCAAAACATGATTTTTTTAATGCTGCCTGGTTTCTTTATGATATAGCTAGAGAGAGATGAAGTCTCCCATGATTCAGCCTGGGCTCTGTAGTTCAGAGTTCTGCATTCAAACAATAAAACCTGGGGTGCCAGTTTCCTAGTAACAATGAACTTAGCCACGGTAGGACGTCTTCGGTTATAGGATGTAGGAAAAACAACAAACACTCTGGAATAATATGGGATGAGTTACAGTATAGGAAGTCCAGAACTAAGACAGGGTTCAGGATTTCTTTGTGTTTCCTACTGTGTCTTTCACACCTGTGTAGCTTTTCCTGCACTCAGAGGCTGCCTCATGGTTCCTCCACAAGGACCACGTGCAACAGTGCACCTGGGCCTCATACACACATATCCAGAGACAACCCTGGAGCAGTGATTTAAGCAGTTATTTTTCTTAAGAAAAAGGGAATCTTCTCCACAAGTTCTTTGGCCGATTTTCCCTCTCACTTCCGGTATAACTCCCTCAGGATCCCACTCTGAAACCAACTGGCAGGATGGGTAGAGATTATTGCTGACTTCCCAGCAACTGGGAACCAAATTATTTTCACTGGAGTCACATGGGGTAAGTCAGGAGAAGGAGGGGAGAATATTGCCTCACCTACTTAGAGCTCTGCAAAAAACATGATGGGAGGGGGAGTGGCCACACATATAAAGGAAAAGCATTTAGTTGGGGTTGGCTTACCGGTTTTAGTCCATAAGCAGTCATCATGGAAATATGCATGGCAGCATGCAGGAAGACATGGTGCTGAGGAAGGAGCTGAGAGTTCTACATCTGGATCCACAGGCAGCAGAAGGAAACTGTGTACCACATTGGGTGTAACTTGAGCATATGAACCCTCAAAGCCCGCCCCCACAGCGACACACTTCCTCCAACAGGGCCACACCTACTCCAACAAGGCCACGCCTCCTAATAGTACCATTCACTCTGGCCAAGCATTCAAACACATGAGTCTGTGGGGACCATTCTGATTCGGACTACCACATCCCACTCCCTGGTCTCCATAGACCACAAGAGAATGCAGAAATGCACTCAGTCCAACTTCAACAGTCCTCATAGTCTATAACACTCTTAGCATTATTTAAACGTCTAAGATCCAAAGTATCTCTTAACTGTGATTCCTGTAAAAGTTAAAATCAAAAAGCAGATCACAGCATACAGTGGCACAGGATATACATTACCTTTCCAAAAGGTAGGGAAAAGAGCATAGTAGGGAAATACTGAGCCAAAACAAGACTGGAAACCAGCTGGGAAAACTCCAAACTCTGCATGGCCATGTCTGATGTCAAAACACTCTTCAGACCTCCAATTCCTTTCAACTTTCTTGACTGCAGCCCACGTCTTTCTCTTGAGCTGGTTCCAGTCTCAGTTGTCGGCTTTCTTTGACAGGTATCCCATGACTCTGGTATCTCCAACATCTTGGGGTCTCCAAAGCAACCCAGGCCTCAACTTTACAGACTCATGCAATGGGCCTCCATGCAGGGACACCCCTGCCACACACCGGCCCTCAACAGCTTTCCCTAGTCATGGAGGGAGATTCCATACCCCTTTCTTCTATCCTTGACTCTAAAGCCAGAACCATTGTGACCAAAGCTGCCAAGTTCAGCTGTTTGCCAGGACTATTTGCTGAGCATGGCTTCCTCCCTCCTTCAATTACTTCTGCATTAGCTCTCTGTTTTCTATGGTTTCCTTTACTGTCTAAACTTGGTGGTCCTGGAACTCACTCTGTGTGCCAGACTGGCCTTGAACTTAGAGCTCTACCAGCCTCTGCCTTCTGAGTGCTGGGAGTGCACACCCGAGTCTAAGCTTTTCCTTAATTCCCTTTCACAGGTTGGAAGCTTAGCTGGGTGGGGTCTTGCCTTTATTCCACTCCCTTTATTCCATCTAACATCTGGCTCTCTTTTGATCTGTTTATCTCCTTGAACGTGGGACTTAGCTCCATCCCACTCCCTTTAACTCCTCAGTTCGTATATTTTGTATTTTTACCTGCTCAGCTCACTCCTTCACATTATAAATCTTCACAAGAGTGAACACTAGTAATCACATGACAGAATCTACACTAGGCTGTTTTGACATTTCCTTTGGGACTGGAATTAACCCAAAACTCTTCACTTTGGCCTTAGGCAGACTTTTGGACAAGGGAGAAAAGCAGCCACATTCTTCACTGAAATATCCCAAGAATAGGTCCCATAATAAAATCCTTCTCCTCTGAAACCTCTTGAGCCAGACCCCAACAGTTTAAGTTGTTACCCTCAGCCCCACTGTCTTCCATGCTCCTACTAGAGATACCAAGACCACAGAAACTCTTATAAGAGAATACATTTACTTGTGTCTGGCTTACAGTTACAGAGGTTTAATCCATCATCATCATGGTGTAACAAAGCATTATGCAAAGCATTATGCAGGAACACACAGTGCTGGAGAAGGATCCAAGGGTTCTACGTCTTGCTCCAAGGAGACTGTGGACCACATTGGGTGTACCTTGGGCATATGAGATCTCAAGGCCCACTCCCAGAGTGACATACTCCCTGCAACAAGGCTGCACCTACTCCAACAAGACCACACCTCTTACTAGTGCCATTCCTTATGATCAGGCTTTCAAGCACATGAGTCTATGGGGGTCATAGTTTCCTGGTCAAACCACCACACACATCCGTTGGTGGCACCTGATACAGCTGTTCAATAACTTCTAAGATTCTCAATGGCTATTCTCACTATGCAGAGACCCTATAAGATAGCCTAGGCCATAGCTCATATGAGGCCTCATCAGAGCTCACAATGGCTTCAGAGACCATGGGATGTTATGTGATGCCAAGACTGGACGCTTAGAGCTGGGGATGGGATGGAACTCACAAGAACCAAGAAGGAGCTTTGGGCACAAGCAGATTAATAGTTTAGCTCACACCAGACTGTAACTTGCTGGTCTACTTCTGGTTATGACAATGTGGAGAGGAAATGGGAAGCATGGCTGGTAGGAGTATAATGTTTTGCCTCACCCATGTGCTGTCAAAGAACTTATAGCCTACCTACTTTAAAAGATGGAGCCTTTTGATCCCCTGCTTCTCTCTTCCCTTCCTTCATTTTCCTTCCTCCTTTTTTCTTTTCCTTTCTTTATTCCATCCTTATTTCTTCCTCCCCCTCTCCACCCCCTCCCCATTTTCTTTCTATCTATACTGGGGATCAAATCCTTGGTATCTTGCACTATAGGGCTCTACCACAGAGCCATGCCCAATTCCACCTTTATAGTTTTCTGGTTTTGAGTTTTAAAACAATGACCACATTTCATGTAAAATTAAACAAACTATATTTGAAAAAGAGAGAGCTTTTATGCTGTCATTTAAAATAGCCTAACCCCTCCCCCAAAGAAGTCCAGTGATCTCTTTTGTAATATTTGAAAATAAACCAACTTTATTTGAATCAGTCAATACCAATCGAGACTGGAAAATGCATTTACAGCTGGCTCAAGATATAAAGAATGCATTTGACTTGATGTGTATTCAAAGGTATGTTACATTTAGTAAGGCTTGAAAGCAAGGCCTATTTTCATCACAGTTAAGGGTCTCAAGAAAAGTGAGTTACCACCATTTGGATCATCTACGTATTGATTCATTACAATTGCTAAGTTAGTTAGTTCCCCAGTTTACAAATCGGAAAAACTAGGTGGCTGGGGGTGGGGAGCACAAATTTAGATAGAGGCTGAATATTTTGCTTGTTTTTATTTTGCTGTTTTTCTTTGAGACAGGGTCTCATATAGCAGGTCGGCCTCCAACTTGCTATGTAGCTGACTTTGAACTTCTGATCCTCCTGCCTCCACCTCCCTAGAGCTGGGATTACAAGTTCACTACCAAGCCTGATTTATGTAGTGATGGATATCTGACCCCGGGCTTCATGCATACTAAGCAAACATTCTACCATCCGTGCTAGATCCTAGCCTGATATTTTCTATAAACATATTCTTAGTCTACCTTGGGACATCTTTAGCTATATACAAAAATACCGTGTCTTCAAAACCGCTTTGCCAAACATCAGATTGATTTTATAGAAAATACAGTTTAACTCAAACCCCATATGGGAACAATGCTTTGTTAATTTTTGGTAGTATATATGGTGGTAGTGTAGAATAGACTTATTTCCTTCAACAACATTCAGTAGGACTGTGCAATTTGATTCATGCTTACTAAAAAGATGAAAGCGTCTTGAAACTAGGCTGAGAAAGGAATATTGTAAAGGGGGAAGAGGATGCACTTAGAACTCAGCACAAGCTGTCAGTTTGAGTGGTAGAGAGCATTGGCCACATGGTCACTGGTCTGTCTGTAGAAGGGCCCCACGGCCAATGACAAGACCACAAACATTCTCCCATCAGCAGAATCTGGAGTTTCATAGGCACACTACTTTCCTTTCTGGTAACTAAGGATCTTTCTTAATGTCATATATATGTATAATATGTATGACTATTTATGATACAAATACATAGATTTCAAAATGTAACCCTTGAGAATCACTGAACTTAATTTCAATCACTAGTTGATGTTTCATGTTTCCAAGCAGGGTCACAATAGTTCACTGATTCATTGAACTGAGCTGACTTCTGGACCATGGAAGGATGGAGGGGAACCCCAGAAGCACCTCCCAGATACCTATTGCTTCTAGAATGATTTGATTGAAGATGCAAACTATTTCAGTGGTGGTGAACTCTGTCTGGTCTTCCTTCATAATACATTTTCCTGGGCCTTGCAGGTCCCTGGCACGCTTAGATAATCAGCACCTGACTGTGCCAGGCATCCTCCGTTCCAGGATGGTCCTAAAATGCTTAGGGCTCTCTCTCTGCAGAATTCCCACCTCTAAGCACTGGTGCTGTCTTCTCTCCTGTTGACTCATCTCACAAGATCCAGAAGGTACCAGAAACATGGCCCAAACATCACTCTTGGAGCAACTCTTTTTTTTTTTAATGAAAAGATGAAGATCTGGTCTGGTCCCATCAGCTCCAGAGGGGAACACCAGGGACAGTGCCATCTACCAGGACGCTGGAACTAGTTTAGGATTGTCTGGCCAAATAAACAGCCTGACTCTTTTCTACTTTGCAATTCATTTGTTTGCTGCCCGGAGCCTATCTAGACCTCCATTTAAAAGGTGAGCTATACACATGCCTGTGACCCTGAATTTGGCAGGGATTTTTCTTTTTCAAGGGGCTATGAAATGTTCTGAAATCATCAAAAACTCACTTTCTTTCTTATTGTGTATAGCTACTAATATCTGAACCAATGCCTTCTCTCTGGGTCAATCTAAGACCTCGGCAGTTTTAAACAGGTAGATACACTCAACTCAGTCATTCTGAGTCTGACTCTAGGCTGTCTGTCTGTCTGTCTGTCTGTCTGTCTCTCTGTCTCAACTTTCACTTACCTCTTACACACACAAGATTGCCATGTGACAATCCAGGGTGAGAAATGGATACAAAAGAAATAGCTCCATCAAATAGTTCCCTTTCTCGGTCACCCAAACGCTTCTTGCGGGACTGGGATTTCCAGAACAGCTCCTATCCAGGCTCTGCAGGTCGTGTCCACAAGGCAAAGCCTTGCACACAGTCTGAGCTGGGACTTGGAACCTCACTGCGGGCTGCAGATGGTGAATGAATCAAACACTTGACAAGGTCCAAAGAAACTGGAGCCTCGGGAGAAAAGTCTTTTCTGGGGTGGGGGAGGGGGTTCATCATCATTTGCTTTATTGTTATTTTTATACACATGTCCTAAAACACAGGTCAGTCTAATTATGATTATCTGACATTAAAATTACTTCTGAATTCAAGTACTTGGAAGAGCCTCCATTCTATAATCTTGTCTCTCTTTAAAGGGGTTATGAGTGATCATATAATACTCCACATTGCCTAAATATTGCTAGTTTTGTAAAACAGGAGGAACTTTTAGAAACAGTATTGACTCAGTTTATTTTTGAAAACTTGCGGATTTCTGGGTTCAGACTGTCACGTGAGGGTCTCGAGTACTCCCCCCTCCTTCTGAGGCCCCTCTAAATATACACTGATCTTCACATCCTCACTATCAGTCCACCTGCAGGACACCGCGTTGTGAGCTGCCTAGAGTTAACCCTGCTTGCTTGTGAATTCTGGGAAGGATTCCTGAGAACAGCATGGTTTCCTATTAATTCAACGGAGGCCTTCTCATGGCTCCGGAAGCTCTCCTCCCCCTCGCCCCCTGGAGGCCCATTGGGGGACTCTTCCCTGCAGTGAAAGGGCTGCTCCTTCAGCAGTGCTACACTTTTAAGCATCCCCAGGGGAAGCTTGCCAAGAGCCTGTGGAAAGGTCCCTGTAGGGTGGAAATGAATCGACTCATTTTGTATCTTCCAAGCCCCTTTCAAGTTTATAAAATGTCGTAGCAGGCAGAGTCCTTTTCCTCAATGGGCTAGGGAGACCTCCTGCTTCCTCCCTACTCCTCGGATCAATGGTCATGCTTTGCTTTGGCGATCCCTAGAGGCGGGGGTTGGAGGTTGGGGGGGGGGATCCCAGTGGCTGTTCGCTGTTAGCACATGTTGGTTGATGTTTCTACGGAAAGGACCCTTGCTGCCCCACCCTCCAGAGTAATGAGCCAAGTCCAGGGGCTTTCCGGCCCTCAGGAGCCTCGCCCCGACTGGCAAGGACACAGAAGGCAGGATTGTTGGAGCTGAGGCTCAGTGAATGGATTTCTCCCAGGCACTCGCTAGCTCACAGGTCGAGGAAGAGCTAATGATTAACTCATTTGTCATAGCGCCTGGTCAGCCCAGGTTCCCATGTTCAGGCCCCATGAGCTTCGTAGGTAAAACACAAGGTGAATGACTAAGGAGAGAAATATTAGCTTTAAAAAAAATATATTGCTTTTTTTTTTTACTTTAAAGTCTGATGTTGGGAAAAGCAACCCAGGACAGTGCACATTTTCTAAATTCAAGCTGTGACTTCCCAGTCAGAAGAGCCATGGGCTTCCTTCCTAAGAAGGTAGCACTGACTACACCATTCCCTAATAGAATTTCTCTTCCATCAGAGGCTGGGGCTGAAGAAACTAGGAGCCCATGCACAGTTCAGTTGGCAACCCACGTCTGGAAGTGACTAGGACAGGCCTGGAAGATGTTTTGGACCGATGCTTTATGGTTGGTAGGTGTGTCCTAACACCAGTCTAAGATTTAGATAATGAGAGAGAAGATTGCTCTAAAGGTTTACTAGGCTACATCAAACTCACAGCATTAGCTCCTCCCATCCCTCCTCCTCCCCCTCCCGTCTCTTTCTCCAACCCAAAGCCACTGATTGAAGAACACAGTCACACACACACACACACACACATACACACACACTCACACACTCCTGTAAGCTCCAGTGGATGACTGCTTTTAAGTCAGTGACCCCTGTGGCTGTAGACCCTGCTGGGCCTTTTGGCATCAACATTGTTTCTCAGAAGTCCCTCTCCAGTTGGGTCACCTCAGTTTAGAATTATAGGTCAACTGCCTTTGTGGCAAAATGGAGTCAGACGGAAAGCTGGGATCATTGCCCACCAGGATATATTCATATTGCACCAGGTCTCAGCACTGCAGCAAATGGAGGTGTATCCAAGGGGACAATACAATATGGCCCTCTGAGCAGCTGGAACTGCCCTGCTAGGTTCCCAGAGCCACACCCAGCTGAGTCCCTCCCCCAGCACTGTCTCCCAATCAAAGCCCGGATCCCTCCCTGATGATCATATTCGTCTGTGGCCTTGCAGTTACTGGGAAAGTGGGGGCAGGAGAGAAGCCAGCATTGAAGTTGCTAAAGCATCTGGAAAAGCGTTAGGATGTTGGCAGAAGGGACCAGTGACAATCCCTGGGAAGCTTTCCAAACTGACCCCAGATACACTGGCCCTAGATCGGGCAAGCAGGCAGGGAGATCTGCGGCTGTGTCCTTTCCTCTTGCCAGGCTCCTGGGGGACAAGGCAGAAGGATGGCATTGATCTTAGAAGGTAGCAGGCTGGAGTTGAGTTCAGGGGTGCCAGCAAGGTGCCGCCTATTTGTTTTCCTTTTGAATCTTTCCTCAAGGCAATGAGGAAGACAAGTCTGTGGAGGTGAAGGCCTTTGGGAGTTGTGGAGTTCCTCTGCAGCAGACAACTAAGCTCAGGATCTGCTGAGGCGTCTGGCGACATCTGCGTAGGCCAGCTCGATCTCGCGATCAGCAGCACAGGTGTTGGTGAACTCATCCCGGGCATAGGCATTCTTGAGGTACCGCCACAAGCCTGTCATCTCAGCCGGGAGGTCATAGTTTCGGTACTTCTTAGCCACAATCTAAACAACGGTGACAAGACAGAGGTTGTGTGAAGACAGGACACGGGTGTTAGGACCATGATTTCATGGGTGACAGTGCATCTCGGGTACATCTGCGTGCAGTACGGCCGCCCAAGAAGCTGGCTAGAAAGACGAGCCATGTCAGCCAGCTCTGGGTTTGACTGAGAGAGCCTGCCTTAATGAGGCAAGTGGAAGAGAAATCGAGACTGACTCCTGACATCAACCCCAGGCCTCCACATGCATGCACAGGCATGCATGTGCACACATCACACACGCATACATGAAAATGAAGAACATGTGCTGTGAAGGAAACCCCAAGTGATATGGAAAAATGTTTGCGACAGCCATAGTTGGTGTAAAGTATAACATATGTGGAGAAATATGTATGACACCCACAAGGATATTACCAGTAGAGTATCCGTGTTCACCTAGTCCACGCCAACCTCAAACTTCTATGTGACTTTGAACTCCCAATCCTCCTGCCTCCACCTCTCCAGTATAAGGATTGCAGATACGTGCTACCTTGCTTGGTTTAAGTTTTCTTTGTTTTTGGTCCCTCTTCTGCTCTGCTTTAAATAGGCATCCTTATCTTTTGTGTGGTGGTGGTGGGGGGGACCCAGAAAAGTGAGCTAGGTATTAGAATATATATGTAGGTTCCAGATCTGCTGTGGGAGCAGACCAATGGTGGTCTCCAATGTTCTCCTGTGTTGCCACACTTATAGGATATAGACTGGGACTTGTGGAGAAGTGGGATTTGTGTTGATAGAAACTGTAGTGTCAGTGGTTAGAGGGCTACTTCTGGGTCTCAGCTGACTGCATTCATAATCCTGACTCCATCTGACAGCTGTGACCAAGGACAAATCCATGACACCTCTCTGAGCCCTAATTTGCTTTTCTCTGACATGGAGGTGGTAATAGGACTTACCTTGTGGAAATGGGTGAGTGGGTCCTCATCCGATTCACTGGGACATGGCTTGTGCCCGTTTTCATGCATTTACATTTTTACTACAGGGAGGTGGGTGGGGTGGCTTTTTGAATAAGGTCCATGTAGTCAGGACAACTCTGGGGACATAGGACCTGAGAGTTCTCCCCAGGCCTTCCTTGTACACAGAAGAGTCTTGCTCTTGATTTATTGCTGTGTTAATATCAGTAAATTCTTCATATACTTTTTTAACAAGGGGTCCCTGTATTCATTCTTCTTTGGAATGTGTCCATTAGTGATGCTTATGGCCCTCAGGGTCAGGCAGATGTAACAGAGAGCAGTATCTCTCCAAGGGTTCTGCTTTTGACTTCCTTCATTTTCTCTAGGGGGTAGATAGTGAAACCATGGGACCCCCAGCTCTTCTGTGTGAGGGTTTCTCCTTCCTTCCCATATGGATGATGCAGAGTCCCCAGGAAATTATGCCAAGGAAAGGACAATGATGGCCTACTGCATGAAAAGCTCATTCCTGGGACCCTTCTACACCAGGGAGAGCACAAGCCCCTTCCAGGCTCTCACTCCAGTTCCAAGCTTCCAGTGCAACAATAAGTAAGGTACACTCTGTCCTGAGTCACAAATATGACAGCATCCTTTTCTCCTCCCCAGCTTGTAAGCAGCAGTTGGACATGGAGAGACTGTGCTTTCGTTTCTAGATCCTTCCATAATCCTAATGACCATTTAGATTTGGATAATGACAGCTGGTAACACTGGCTCATGAGCCCACTCTCATCTGGGTGCTGTGTTAAGCTACTCAGAACTGGGTGCAAGCTACTAAAACCTCTACAGCACCCTGCAGGGGTCATGCCCCTATTGTTCAGATGAGAAAGGAGAGGCACAGACATTTAGTAAGCAAGGTTTGGTTAAACAGCTGAATTTAATCTTTGGCATCTTCAGTTATCTCAACATCAGACAAGGTGCATCGAGTTATATGTGATGAAACCATTGTGTGTGTGTGTGTGTGTGTGTGTGTGTGTGTGTGTGTGTGTGTTTTGCAGAGGATTGAACCCAAGTCCCTCATGCATGCTATGTAAATCCTCCGCATGATGTCACATCCCATTTACAATGTTCTGTTCTGCTTAAGTGTGACCAGTAAGCAAAGGTGATAGGTCAACACTAGCCACCAGTTGTCCCAAAGCTGCCCTCTGGTCACTACAAGGAGAGGGCCTTTGAGAAGAGATTTTCTAGGCTTGGAGCAAATCTAAATAGTGATGATTTTCTGAACTAGCTGGAATTAGCCAGGTGGGGCAAAATTGGCACAAAGTAAGGTGAATGAGTCTACTAAGAGCTGTTGTGCATGGTTTGACCTGAAGTCATGAACTTGTAATGCAAATACTCATGAGACCGAGGCAGGGTGATCTCAAATTAGAGAACAACCCAGACCATTTACTTAGATTCTACGCCACCAGCTGATCTCAAAGACACAGAGGTTGGGTGATACTTTATACTGATTGATAAAGACATACTTTGTTACTGTTGGCATTTTAATTTGGGGTTTTGTCTGTTTGTTTTTGTGGTGCTGGGTTTTGAGCCCAGTGTTCAGTAAGAACTTTACTGCTTGGTTTTTGTCAACTGTACACAAAACGGAGGCATCCGGGAGAAGGGACTTCATCAGGTTGCCCTGTGGATGTGTCTTGGGGCCACTGTCTGGATTGTCAATAGATGCCTAATCCACTGTGGGTTGTACCGTCTCTAAGCAGGTGGGCCAGGACTATGCAAGAAAGGAGAGATGGTAGCTGAGTAATCCTTGGGGCGGGGGAAGCCAGTAAGCTGTGTTCCTCCTTGGCCTCCCTTCACTGTGTGCCTCTAGGTTGCTGCTCTGACTTCCCTTATGATGGACTATGAAGTGAAAGTGTAAGGAAAATAACCTCCCATCAGAGCGACAGAAAAGCAAACTAGAAAAGGTATTCCGGGTTGTCTTCATTCGCTTCAAGATGGCAGATGTGCAATCAAAGAATGTATGTTGGCATTTGCATGTGTAGCTCTCTTTCTCTTCCAAGTTGCCCCACAGAGAACACAATCACTGTGCCGAGCCGGGAAAAGCACACCAGTGAAAGTTCAGACCAGGTTCTCAGTGAGCGTGGGCCACAGCCACTCGGCATCCTGGGATTGGGGACAGATATGACAGGAAGGCAAGCAGAAGCAAGGGCGCGTGGAATTCTGACACCCAGAGGAACTTGCTTGCTCCTCCTACTCTGAATTGGCTGTTTCATATGAAAACAGTTAGCTCCCACAGTCCACATTAAAATTTGGCATCCGAGGCCAAACTGCCTTGGCTCCTCTTCATGCTCTCTGCACTGCAGAGGTTTGCCAGGTCCCTGGATCTGATAAGCTGGATCAGCAGAAATCCAAGGAGACAGGAGTCCAGGCCTATTGTTCCCTCCTAGGCCATCCTCCGTCTGATCCCCAGCTTGCCTCAGCTAGAAACCCACTGAACTGTCTCCAAGGACAGGGGATTAACTTGGTCATTTAGGGTTGGATGGAGCTGAGGCATTCAAAGGATGGTGGAGAAGCCTGTGAGTGCCGTGTGTTTGCCTACTTTGACAAAGGACACTTAAGTGAGTTGCCTCTACATGTTGGGGTAGAGAGGAGAGAAAGAAGGAAGGGAAAGGAAGCAAGTGGATTTGATCCCCACCTTTCTTTTAGGCACGAGAAAAATGAAATCCGAAAAGATCAAATGGCTTGCCCTAGTCCTCCCTGCTAGTTGGTGGCAGATGATGAATTAGACTTGGGTCTTCTGATCTTTCCATTATATCACTATGACACTGTGTGACTGAATGGGCATCACACATACCTAATGGCTGTGCTTATTCCTCAGGGAAAGGAGAAGAAAGCACACTTTGGTGGGTGGGGTGTGGGATAATTAATAACTTCAAAGTAACATATTTGGCTGGTCCTACAAGAGATCTTTAGATTGGCCCTGAGCCTAAAAAAAGTCTTCATATTCAAGTGTTGTATTGGCCTGCCCTAGAAGCATGTGACTCCCTCCCTGGTTTTAGCACTAACCCAGGCCTGCGGGACAATCACTCACACATGGATGGCCAGTTAAGTGACTTTACCACAAGCTGGCATATGCTCTTGGAGGAGACTCTATATATCTAGCTCAGTACTCTGGCTGATAGAACTTGCTGATGAACAATAGGTTAGCCTTCTCCTCAGTGAGGGGCAGACATAATATGACTATCCTAAAAGGCACACAGTAGCTGGTCATATTTATTAAAGGGTTATCACACATGCAAAAGGCTCTGGTCTCACACACATTATTGTCAGAATGAGATGGCAAGACATAGCCACGGTAAAAGCAGGGGTTGCTTGGTTATAAGACCCTACTTCACGTTGCTCTTGGGTCTAGAGGACCCAAGTTCAATTCCCAGCAACCACATGACAGCTCACAACGATCTCTAACTCCAGTTCTAGAGTATCTGATGCTCTCTTCTGGCTTCCATGGACATCAGGCGCACACGTGGACATAAACAAATGCAGGTAAAACACCCACACATACACATTTAACAAACTTTTTAAAAAAATTGAATCACAGAGAGTCTGCTCACCTGGCAAGCTGCGAAGGCTGATTTTGGTCCCTAACAGATCTGACTTCAGAGCCCAGGGTCGTCTTGGCTCCCAGGAGTTACTACCCTTGATTGGTCCACCCAGTTGGCCAGGCCTGGGATGACGGCCACACCCATGCTCAGACCTCTCTTACCTTGACCACATGCAGCTTGGGGAGCAGATTGCAGTCGGCCAGGGTCAGCTCGTCCCCGTCCAGGAACTTGCGCTGGGACCCTTTCTCATCCCCACGGGTGTTGGTGTCGATCTCCTCTGGCAGAGGGGTGTTCAGGTAGTCATCCAGCTTCTTCAGTGCCTTTGTCAAGCCCCTCTCAAGGGCTGGCATGGAAGAACAAAAGAAGAGTCAACTCTCTTCTTACCAAATACAGCCACAGGGGCTTCAGAGTAGGCCAGGTGTACAGAGTCACATCCCACCACCGCTCCGCCATTTCAACACATACGATAGAACCCCGGTAGCTCTGAGCATGTTTCCATACAAGTGTACTAAACAGCCTAAAAAGGCAAACCCTAGGGATGGAGAGATGGCCCAGCAGCCACTGCTCTACCAAGACTGCAATTTGTTTCCAGGCAGCTCATGGCCGCCTATAACCAGCTCTAGGGAATCTAACACCTTCTGACCTCTGTGGCCGCTTGTGTGTGTATGGGCACACACACTCACAGAAATTAAATAAATCAGAAAAACTAGCCAATTAGTAAACACTAGTTACTTTTTATATTTGATCGAAACACCACCTATTCCTTTTAATTTGATTAAATTCCTTTTACTTTGATTAAGATGTATCGTCTATTTAATAAAGAATTCCGGCAGCTAGAGCACATGCCAGAGTATCCAGAGTTTATCTCCAGCAGGTCCAACATTAGGCAACTTCCATTTTCTTGTTTTATCTACTTTTATCTAGCCAATGATTGACAACACACACAAACACACACACAATAATTTTTCAGAAAGGGCTGATTAAGTAATTAAAAATGGCGCAGAAGTAGTCCTTAGATAAGACCAGTTTTGTGGTGGCATTCAATTTGACTAACCTAGCTGGAGAAGGGGAGGGGACCTTCAGGGGACAGGACATAGGAACGAGATCAGTCCTGTTTAGGGAGACTTGCAGAAGTGCCATGGGTAATAGAGAGGCATGCTGGAGGGTCATCTACAGCAGACAGCTCAAAGCTGTCCCAAATGGCCAGACCAATGCACCAGACAGGAATGGCCATCGGCAGTGTGCACTCAATTCACTTGGATGGAGCCTGCCACCTGCCAGGGATGCCGCTGAAAGAAAGGACACCTAAAGGAAGGCGAGGTGGCAGAAGACACTTATATTCCTATTCTGATTAATTAGCAACTAATCCATTTATCACACATGGGCATGGAACCTTTTCATCACAGAAAGGTGACATGGAAACTTTGTACCTTCGAATGGACAGGGTAGGTGCAGAACAGATGGCCCGTTGGTCACTAAGTACCTGTGACATCAGCCCTGCTCCTCTACCCCTCTCCCTCAAGACTCTGTTCGACAGCATGCTCCTGAGATCGCAGGAGTCCCAGCTGATTCACCTGGCCACAGACACAAGGAGGACATCGCCACCCAGAGGAGAAACTGTGAGATCTGTCTTCCTTGTCACGGCGTCCCAAATGTGCCTTCTGTTAACTAGCCACTCCCACATGACCCACTTTTGTCTTTTCATAGGAGGCCCTTGTTTGAGACAATGGAAGGACACCAGTCTGAGACAAAGCCGCTGAACACTTCCTGGAACGTTTGGAAACCAGTGAGAGGCTGGCCATGCGTTTCTCAATACTTCCTTCTCCCTGGTGTGGCGTTTGAACTCGTCTTCATCATCTGTTTTGTGTTTCCAGTTTGAGAGAATAGAGCAAGAAGGGCTGGGAAACATGCTGGAATTCCCTTCAGTGATTGTCTAGACTGTGACGGGATTGCCAGACTATTCGTGGGCTAAGGCAGAGGGTGGGCACTAGACAATACTTATTATGTTTTTCTCCCCAAAGCGATTGCATTTCACACTGGGTTTGTTTGCTTACTCAAATCCTTCTACTCCCTTCAGTCACAGAGTGGGCCAAAAAAACCCAATCACAGTGGAAAAATGAAAGAAATAACACAATATTCTAGTTTCATTTCTGTTGACAGGTTAAAATAGCCTGATGGGGAGGAAAGGGTTTATTTGGCATGTGCTACTGAATTGCAGATCATCCTTGTAGGGAAGTCACACGCTTCAGTGTGACTGTCACACCCTCATCCATTGTCAAGAGCAGATTGAAACAAATATACCCAGGCTGCCTTCTTGAAGGCTTGCTCTCTTATCCAGCTTTCCCTGTCCTGTATAAGTCAAGCAGACCCCCCCAACGCCCTCCCCATGCCTAGGGAATGGTGCCACCCACAATAGGCTAGATCTCTTCATATCAATGAACAATCGATATAATTCCTGGTCAACGTGATCTGAATAAATCCTCAATTGAAACTCTCTTCCCATTGTTGTTGGTCTGCAACAACAATGAATTTTGGCAAAGAGGTGTGAAACAATGATGGAGACCTTGGAAGACTAGCTTGGGATAGATTCCAACTATTCATCTACTAATTTGCCCAACTAATGAGGTCTTTAAATGGAAGGGGTAAAATTTAATGACAGGTATAGATGTGTCCCTACATCATTATTACAACATCATGAATGGTCTGTACATTCTGAGCATGCTCACTGCTTGTCAGTTGGTGTTAATCATGGTAGAGACATGAGGCCAGAAGCCAGAAAGAAGCCACATGAACTGTAGCTACCCTTGATTAGGATTTGCCTAGAACAGTCTCACCGTTGAGGTTATAGCTTCAAGGTCCTTTAACTGAAGAGCCCTCTCCGAGACCTCGGGCATGACTTTTTTCACTTCTTTGTTTAAACGTATTGTATTAGCTTTGGACACCTTAAATTCCACCTGCACCCCTGATCCTGATACCTCTCTGTGGCTAGAGGTCAGCTCCTCAATGTGACTGCATGACCGTTTCCTCATCTCGGTAATGACAACGAAGATTCCTGGGTCACTCATGGCCAATTCTAGGCTCAATAGGATAGTGCAGGGAAAGTCTCTGATCCAAGGGCCTGGGCTGTAACAGATCAGTCAGTGGTTATCATTGTCACCGTGTGACTCTGAAACAGTCGTCCTTCTGTCCTGTGAATCCTCCCACACTCTCAGATTGGAACATTCTTAAGCATTCCAAGATGCAGCAGAGAAGGTCAGATTCTGTGTAGCCTCAGTCCTGAAGTCAAGTCCCCAAATGGAGCATTCTTTCCCACTCTCGATTACTCTCCCTCTCTCTCTCTCTCTCTCTCTCTCTCTCTCTCTCTCTCTCTCTCTCTCTCTCTCACACACACACACACACACACACACACACACACACACACTGTGGTTTTTTTTTTTTTATATAGAATTTTCTGTGTAGCTTTGGAGCCTGTCCTGGAACTCGCTCTGTAGACCAGGCTGGCCTCAAACTCACAGAGATTCTCCTGCCTCTGCATCTCGAGTGCTGGGATTAAAGGTGTGTGCCTCCACTGCCCAGCACTTAACTTATATTTTTAAAATTGTTTTCTGGGACTTGATCATGAAGCTTAGACCGGTCTCACTCAATAACCAGTCAAAGATGGCCTTGAACTTTTGGCCCTCTTGCCTCCACCTCCCTAATGATAAGATAACAGGCATGCACACCTTGCACCCTCCCTTGAATATTTAACACACAGCCATGACTATGTCCCCTATGCCCCCGGGAATCCTCGTTGGTGACAAACAATGTAGAAAGGGATGCTCAGAGGCAAAGAGACACACCATACCCACATGCTGAGTCACTCCAGGCTAACAAGTCACCCACAACAGTGCCTAGACACTCTCTTCCAGCTTTCTCCCTCTTGCCTTCGGGCTCAGTCCTGAAGCCACGGGATTAAATTATCTCTTTTGACTGATGGCATTTGGGTCATGCAGACACTCACAGTGAACTTTCTACTCTGGTAAAAATGGATAGGAAAGAGACCAGGGTGATAGGCAGGAGACAGTAACTCCTTCAGTGTGTGTGTGAGGGAGTGGGGAGAGGGAAGGAGGGAGAGAGAGAGAGAGAGAGAGAGAGAGAGAGAGAGAGAGAGAGAGAGAGAGAGAGAGAGAGAGAGAGAGAAAGAGTTTCCTCAGAGACACTGGCTGGGGCAACTAACCTCAGGCAGGCTGCAGCACCCGGTGACCCATGATGACTAACGTCCCATGAGCTTGATGGATACCCAGTCTTTTAATTGCTCTGTTCCCCTCTCCTTCTCTGCTTCCCATAAAGATTTATTCTGTAGCACACACAAATGTGCTGGGTAAAATATGCAATGAGGAAAAAGGGGAAGAGTTCATAAATATTCTCAGGCATATGCAAACAATCTCAAATTTATTTCTCTCTCTCTCTCTTTTTTTTAAGGAGGGAAAAAAATCCACCCATTCCATGATCGCTTCCAGATTCATTGAGGTTGCTATTACATAAGAGCCAATATTGTTTTCTCGTCATAGAGAAATAATGAGTTGGAAATGGCAATTTGAGCTAAGAAAATAATATAGTCTTACCAAGGCATGGGGGCTGGATGAGGAACGGGGGAGCCAAGATTCTAATCCAGCCTCCAGCCAGTTTCTGCAAGCATGGCTCAGCCCCGATTTGCCAGCATCTGGGCACAGCATGGGAGCCGATGAGAGTGAAGCCAGCAGCACCTCTGGGTCTCAAAATTCACACAGAGGGGCAGATGTCAAGGGTGGTCTTTGAGAAGATGGAAAGCAGGTCTGGGCCCAGGAGGTTTGTATGTGTGTTTTTCTCTGTCACGTGGTACTTGGAGAAGTACACATGTGTTTTATACACTCACATAGTCACATCCGTATAAACATAAATAAAAAGAAGTCTGCAAAAAACAAAAGGGGGAAAGAGACGGCTCGGTGGTTTACAGCATGGGCTGCTCTTGCAGAGGACCTGGATTCAAGTCTCACCACCTCCACAGGGGCTAACAAATGGCTATAACTGCAGTTCAGGGATCCACTGTCCCTTTCTTCCTCCTCAAACATTGTGTGAGGTGTGCAGACATATACACAGGGAAAGCATCCATACACCTGATATAAGTTTTGTTTTAAGTTTTGCTTATAAAAGGAGTCGAGGCCCACCTCTGACAAAGGGCTGCAGCCTAGATGGGTGTCTGCCCAACTATTCCGTGGACTCTCCACTCTCTGACCCTTTCATTGCTCCAGAAGGGTCCATTCCCACAGGAAGACAACACTCACTGTTCTCTGAAAGGAACCCTGAATGTGATGCTCTGTTGCC